AAATATATATATATATATTATTTTATTCTTATTGACTTTTCTTCTCTGGTTTTTTTGTATTTTAGTAGTCGAAATAAAACTGAAACTTTCCTCAAAATATTTTTTATGCAAATGGAGAAATATTGGCCTATAAAGTTTTCATTTTATCACCATATATTATTTAATTTTTATTTACATATAAAAATTAGTCAATTTTTATGCTAGTTAATTTCATAATTGCCTTTTCGACATTAGTAAATTGATTAGAGATACAATTTTCGAAGTGTTTTATGATTAAAAAAAAGAAAAATGCATTAGATTTTAACGCTTTTATCAATTAAGAATTTTTTGTGTTTCGCTTGCTTTCATGCATAACTTACGTAAAAAAATAGTAATTTATTCATCTAGAAATTTTCGAAAAATAAAAAGTATTAGCATAAATTTCTTATATTTAAAATAAAAATAATATTTTCGACATTACTTTTACTCAAGGGTATTTTTCCATCCTCTTTAAGATCATTGAAAACTGTAACAACGATAAATTTCTTTTAAATGATTACTTTCCTGTTTTGAAGTAGGAATAATATTAAAATAATATAAATAATTTGTATAAATAATTCTGTTATTTTTCTGCACAAGTAAACTAGTTTTTATGGCATCTTCTTCCATCTGGAAATATCCATCATCAGCATTTTTCCTCGATAACGAATAGATATTGAGAAATAGAGCGCGAAAATCGGTAAAACAAATAAAAAAAATTATAAAACAAGTCTAGAATTATTTATGTCATATCAAATTTATAATTATAATTTGTTTTATTTAAATTGAAAAAGTGTCTTGTGAAACAATTACAATTTGTAATTTAAATTATGGCTAAGAATTAAAATAATTAAATAAATTGTGAAAGGATTGACGAAAGGAATTGGTTTATTTTGGTTTGATGGGATGTGGCAACTATCAGAGAGTTCTTTTTATGGAAAATATGGTAAAGTGGCCTCTATTTCGGTGTTAGATACGTGAGGAAAACCCAAAAAATTCAATGTGGCCAGCCTATTGGTCAGATGCGAATCCACGGCAAACTACCTGTTTTCAATCGAGAGAGAGAAGGGAAATTGAGACTGTAACCTTTGGTGTTAAAAAAGGCCTATTCGATACGAGCATGTATCGAAATTTATATACTAAAATTAATTTTCTAGATTTCACAACTAATGTTTAACTAATTACAAGTACCTAAAGGAGAAAATTAAATATAATAAAACACAGAACTTTAAGTCAAAAGAATGCAGAAGGGACCCTAATTTCTCCACGCCTTCGTGTGTGTGTTACAATCTAAACACAATCTCACTAACTATTTAAATTAACATTTAACGTGTAAAACTATATTAAACACTCATAATTTTCATTTACAGTTTAAGTTTAAAACAAAGATAATGAAATAGATTTAAGAAATTTGTTAGAAATTAGCTTAATATATATTTAAACAAACATTATTCAATACAATAATTTGTCTCTTGATCACTTTCAATTACTACAGTATTGTAAATTTTCAACAGCTTTTGAAAATCAATACAATAGAAATATATTCGAATTAGTTAAATTATTATTTGTGCAAGAATGCTGATGAGGAATATAATGTATTTACTTAACCATATCGGGTATTAAATCATTCTCCTTACTGAAACAATGGAAAAATGAAAAATATATTAACTCATTAATTATGTTATTAAGAACATCGTCACCACAAATTAGATGACTTTTAAGTTCTCAGATCCTTATTACTAAATAAGCTGTAATATGTACTGTGAGATATTTCACTTTAGTACTAATTTCAGAAGAGCGAACAAAATGTCACTTGGTAAAATCTTCATAGTTCTGCTTATTTATTCACTCACAATATAGAATTAACGCATAAAAGAATTTAGTAAACTCCCAAATATACTGTTGCAAAAAATGGAAATTAAATTATTAAATTTAATGGAATTGCCAATAAAATTTGTATAAGTAATTGAAATAGAAAAACGTTCATAAACAATTTCTAAATAAAATATTTTCTTGATTTTATCATTAAATAACACGTGAATAATAATAGGATATTCGAAAAACTTGTCAACAATATAATAAAAGAAATTAAATAATAAACAGAATTTTGTTTAAATGTATTATTAAAAGTAGCAGGTGGGCCCGGCGTTGCTCGGGCAAAAGTAACGATAGCGAAGATTAAGATTATTACGTTATAGTCAAAACCTTACCCGTTTTCACAGAATGCAAAATTTGATCTCCCGTTTCCAGACTAATTAGAGAATTTTTACATGGGTCTAAAAATATCTTCAATTTCCTGCAAAAACGAAAACCAACTGCACTTTCTCTTAAAACGTCGCTTTCTCTTAACAATTCCATTGTTACGTAACACGTCCATTGTTGACACTTCCATTGTTACTTAACACTTCTATTGTTGATGGAAGTGTTAAGCTTAATCCTGTCCCTCTCCCCCAGGGGGGCATTTCGAAAAATCCCTTCTTAGTGTGCGTTTTCGTGACGTACCCTAACTGTGTACCAAATTTCAGCTTCCAACTCCTAACCGTTTAGGCTCTGCGTTTATTATTATTATCGACTCGTCTCGATTATATATATAGATATTCAAAAATATGTTCGAAATTTTTAAAATAATTAATGAATAAATTTGAATAATTCAGTTAGACTTTTCTAATTTAAAAAGTGTATAGAAATTGTTCAGTTGACCGTTGAATTTTTTAAAATTTTAATTTATTCGTTGAGAAATATTGGACAAAAATTCACTTTAATTTGTTTTGACATAATCGAATATGGAATAGTACGAAATGACATTGTGACAGATATTTTCTAAAAAAGTAATAAAATATTCTGTCATCATAAAATTTTGTTTTCTACTTTATTTTTTCTTTTAAAATTTTTTGAAAGAGGAATTTATGAATTAAAGATTTTAAAATTCTCATTCAGGTGAATTAGTCAATTCGCATTGTAAATTCTTTATTTTTTAAGATATAAATACAGGAAAAAAATCTCTTATTAGTGTTACTAAATTAAAAATAAATGGCTTTTAATTAAAATAATTATGTTTGTAAACGAATGAAAATAGAATTTATTGAGTTAAATTACTAGAAATTGCAAATAACTGAAAAAGTAATATATAATTTAAGGTAAAATACTGTACATATATTCTTAAATTTTAATACAGTTTGTTTATAGTTTAAGTAGTTTAATATTATATTGTCAATAGATAAAAAAAAACAGAAAAAATTCGCTAGTAAACACAACATAATAGAATTACTTAATCCGGATTGTACCGTATTAACTCTGGTCGACCGTTACAATTTCCTTGAGAAATTATCTCATAGTTTAATAAGTGCTTTCGGTTTAATGTTAGTAGCCGCTGGAATTCATATTTCCAAAAAACTAGTTATATTCATTATCATTTTTCATTTGGCATCGTGATAAGAAGCTGTTCGCTTCCATTGAAGTTTGCAAGTATTCAATGGAAGAGAGTAGTAAGAAACGACAATATATGTGCTTATAATTCTACGAGATAACTTTTTCAAGTAAATACTCAACGGTCTGCATGGTAATAACACTTCTAAAAAGCCAATTATATTCACTAGCAGGCATCTTTTGTTCAGTACAAGCAAACAGAGTTACTTTTCGTAGTGTCAAACGGAATTTGGGTGATATGACAAGGTTTTTAAATATTCTATGTAATTAATTAATAATTAAAATGCCAGGAATTGATTATAATATTTAATTAGCTAAATTTATTACATAAATACTAAATTAACATACAGAAAATCTTAACGTAACGTAAGGCAAAGATGCATAACGTAATAATATATAAAGTCCCAAATAAAATCAAAATAAGCGCTAACTCTTATATTAAACTTACAATTGAATATATTCAGCAACGTAAACAATATATTGTTGCAAATCTAGTTCAAGTATTTAATATTCTGATTCCAATTCATTGTGTTAAACATATTGTTCCAACAATACGTTTATATTATGGTAATACGTATAATAACCCAAATTATGACATTTAGAGAAATTTCAAATGGTTTATAATATAATTAATTAATAAATGTAATTTGCATATTTATTGCCACAATTGAATTGAATCATATTAAGGAAAGTTAATAAGTGAATAAATTTATGCAAAATAGTTTAATGTATTTTTAAATCGTATAATTACAAAAGATTAAATATTTATTATAACTTATAAAAATTATGTTAAATATTATATGAATTGCATAAAGAAGTGGAGAGAAATAAATAGAAAATGAATATTTTTTCTTGATTTATTTTGCAGAGTATCATATTTCGGGTTCAAGAACATCCGGAATTTCCCCAGTTTATTCAATGTGTCAGCTTTAATTTTTTTCCTACCGAGTGGCACCAAACAGCTTATAATCTTTTCTGTCTCCTAGCTCTTTACGGTGTTCCTCTGTTTATCATCATTTATTGCTATTCCAGAATATTATGGGAGATTTCCAGGAGATCCAGAGATACTGAAGGTAAATATTTTCTCTTTTCTTGACAACTTTTTAAATAAAACTCGAAGTTATTATACGATCGCAATTTCAAATGGCAACTTTCCTCTTCTACTTGTAAGTTTCTTAAATTTGTTTTAAAGATTTAATTTTAATTGAAATGTAAAATACTTAAAATTAATTAATAGTGTTAATGAGAAGTATCAAATATTTTTCTTGATAGATTTCATTGTCATTTCATTATTTTAATCATCTCAACAACCGAGACAGCAAAATTGATTCTCTTCTGTAATTGCTCCACTTAAACTTCTGCAATAATTCAACATAGCACTTTTAATTAGATATTTGTGACTCGTCCGTAGAGTACAACTTAATTGCATTTAAAACACACTTCTAACAGGCCATAATTAGACAATTAAAGTTTTATTATTTGAAGAATAATTAATAAGAAATTAATTTTAAGAAATTCTTTTCATAAAAAAAATCATTCCTGTAGTTCTTTTTATTTTAGAAGATTTATCCGAGGAACATCACAGAAGAGACAGATTAAGATTGAGAAGATCTGACATGACTCATATCGAAAGAGCGAGAGCTAGAACATTACGAATGACAATAATCATTGTTTTAGCGTTTTTCTGGTGCTGGACCCCTTATGTTGTAATGGTGTTATGGTATATGTTCGATCCGAACGGAGCTCAAGAAGTTGACTCTCAGTTGCAATCTGCATTGTTCATGTTCGCCGTCTCTAATTCTTGCGTAAATCCATTAGTATACGGTAGTTACGCTATAAATCTGAAGCAATTATTCAGGCGTTGTTATAACAGAACAAGATCATCTATGGGGTTCTCCAGACAGACTGTCGTTTCTACAACGATCAAAACCACTCACACAGAAAAAGATGTCAGATTAACTACGACATCAGCTAGAGGATTACCTGTTACGCTTAAATTACAGGGTTCAGAGACAATTCCTACACTTTTAGAAGAGACTTGTACACCTTGCGAAAGACAGCGTGGAAGCTTTCGCAGTGGTAGATTGGGTTGTTCTTATTCTAACCATATTTCCTATCCAAAGTATCCCGCCTAATGGTTTTTATAACTGAATTTCATGTATAAATAAATAAATATATACATATATATTCTTTATACACGTGTAAAAGTTGTGATTTGGTCAACGTTAAATGGAATTTACATTGAAAGAGATCGAAATAAGCATTGCTCAAGAACGAGTTTTATTTTATAAAAAAATACTTTTCTGTCAATGTATCTTAAACGTTAACAGAAAATATGAAATGATTGTATTGATGATTAAAGTACTTCAACGCTATATTAGAAGTAATAAGAGAAATATTTGCAGTTCAAATGCAACCGAATATGTTATAGTGAAATTTCAGAACACGTTGAAGATATTTCCTTAAAGTAAAATAGTATCAAAATACATCACTACGGCAGTTTTAAAACTGTTTTATTTTTAAAAGATACAAACAATTTAGCGATGCTGCTAAATGTGGTCTCCATTCTGAAGGCAATGAGTAGTTTTTTAAAGGCCACTGTAATTAAAAGGCCACTGTAATTAAAGTGGCTCTCTCTTTCAAAGCTACCAAATTTACATCATGTTCTTGATAATTCACAACCAAAAACAATTCGATTTAAGATCATTAAAGTGTCATAACAACGAGTTTTTGTTCTTTGTTTCTTTCCTTTTCTTTTTTGGAAATGTCTTCATCATATCCTGAAATGTCAAAGAACCAGATATGGTTGCATTTGGACTGCTAAATATCCCTCTTGACAGTATTGAATAGAATTACCAGTATAATAAATGTAATTAAAATAAATGTATAACTTCAAAGGTTTAAATAATTTATTACGGAAGTATTGTATATGAAATAATTTTCTGAATATTATAAATGTGTTTAATTTTATGTAAATTTCCATAAGGTAATGATCATTAAAATAATTATGTTTGTAAACGAATGAAAATAGAATTTATTGAGTTAAATTACTAGAAATTGCAAATAACTGAAAAAGTAATATATAATTTAAGGTAAAATACTGTACATATATTCTTAAATTTTAATACAGTTTGTTTTATAGTTTAAGTAGTTTAATATTATATTGTCAACAGGTAAAAAAAAAAAAAAAAAAAAAAAAGACATTAAAG